ATGACTTTGCGCAAAACAGTTGCAGACGGTTGCTTTTTGGCATTTTTTCCTTGACTAACAAAACACGCGGCATTCTTTCCGCGCTACCTCAGTGCCCCCAACCCACTAACAACAAATTGTGATTCTGGCTATAATATATGATGTTAACCTCACAGTGTAAAATGCACGAAGTGAGTGAACCACGTTTAGTTGACCCTAAGATCTCGACATTTACAACGAAATGGTGTGATCCTGGTCCATATCAACGTGAGGCTCAAAGTGTGCAACAAGTAAACAAGCCATAAAATATTGATATTGCGCGGACCTGGCTGTTGATTGGACACATCCATTGTGACCCTTCCTCGGAGCCACACGACACATACAGATATGAATGCAACAAGATGCAATGGCGCATGAAAGCCGCAAAAACGGAAGAATTCAGCAAGGCAGGGCCAGGCGGGAGGCGGATGTGGCCCTCCCCAAAAACCTTGCACCGACATAGTCGATGAGGAAACTGAAGCTCCCAAAAGAGGACGCCAGACGAGAGGATCAATATCAACTCAGTCGGCGAAGTGTTCAGTGGGATGTAGCACTTAACTCCAGCGCCCGCCCAGTTAACGATAGAAAAATAAGATACCGGCAGAGAAGCTGTGGATCTCCCAAAAAACATTACACCGAGGACATAGCTCATAGGACTGCTGGATATATCCCGAAAGGGGGAATGCTTTTTTGTCTCGGGTTGGGGCCGGAGCCGGAGCCGCTCGCCAGACGAGAGGATCAATATCGATGAACTCAGTAGACTAAAGCTCAAGTGCTGGGCCGCTGTGGTCTCAGACGTAGCGGCCATGCGAGCTTGAAGCCTGTGCGCGCTGCACATGCTAAAGATCAGGAAAGCCCGACCGGCTCAGCCAACCCAGGGCGTCAGCAGCTTTCAAACCCAATGGCCGGTCCACTTCGTCAGGAAGCCATGAAAGGTCGCCAGCTTCTGAGACAAGGAATACATCGCCAAGGGGCAGCTGCCCACCTCGTAAGATTCATCCTCGCGCTGCGTTGGCCTTGCGGATGAGCGGACAGGTTCAGTGATTGAATAGATCTGGGCTGAGAGTCTGAGAGGGCCCGGCCACAAAAAGTCCTGAGCGCCCGAAATGGGCTACGGGGCCACCGGCGACCGAAAGCAGCGGTGAGGCGCTCAGAGTGCGAAGTCGGGTCAGAAGCCAGTGTCCCGAAGACGGTCTGCGGCCGATCCATCAATCGGGAGCGTGATGGGCTAAGCGGACGCGCTTGAAGCGAAATGTTTGGCGGCTTCGACAAAAAAAATCTGGGCGCCTCACCGCCTCACCGCCGTCCAGGCAGTTTGAGCCCAACCGCTTGGGACACCGCCATTTTGCTCGTTTCCTTGGAAAGCGTGGACCACCAATTCCTGCTCACTCGTGATCCGTCTCCAAAAGACAAAAGCAATCACGAACCAAACGGGTGACCCAGCGTAAACCAACCCAAAGCCCGACCAAGCCAGCCCAAGCCAGCCCCTTTTGCCCCCTTCGATGCGTCCACGGGGCCAGTCGCCCCAAGCAGCCCTTCTCAAGCTCCTCGTGGTCCTCCGAAAAGCGCTGGCCTCCAGTCGTCGCAACTTCACCCGGACGCAGGGCTTCTGGTTTGCCCCACTTGCCCCACTGGGACCCGGAAATAAAACAAGGCCAAGCTTTTAAAAGGACACCTGGACTAAATATGGAACCAACACAAAATGTTTCGGGTACCTCAACATATGTCCTTCCCGTTTCACCAACTTGGGTGGCACCAAGCCCCAGGATAGGGTAACTCACTTCCCTATTGTGTACATGCCAAGAAAAAGGTACCTACCCAAAGAAGAAATCAAGTCCAACTCCAGGGCGGTCAGCTGGATCTCATGGTTCACTTCAAACACATGAGAGCCGACAGCCCCAAGTTTGCTTTGGGATTCTCAGAAAAAGACCTGCTTTTTGGACAGGAAAATCATATGTCAACCAAGAAGAGCGGATAACATGGAACCTACAAGAGGGGTTGGGGTTCCCATGCTAGGATTTAGTCATTCTTCTTTGTTTCAAAGGCAAAGATATAAGATGGTCCAAGGAATTCAAGGAGCCATGTGTTAATCAGGGATGCTTTGGGAGCGATTTGATGGCTTCTCAAAGGGAATGATGGATCCCAAACGAATTCCCAAGACGCGAATGAACTTGCCTGAGAACAAGCGCAAGCTTTTTTGGGGGCACCTAGCCAAAATGCCGGCGAAACCTGGTTGTCCTGCAAAAAAAATGCCATACCTGATGGCTGGACTGTCCTGCATTCACTTGACTTTTTGATTGTGGCTTACTTGTCTATGAACCAAAACCAGGAGATGCTCAGAGGTCGATTCCCAAAAAAACTGCGTTTTGAGGAAAGTTAGTTTTGCCCTAGCTTCCCCCTTGATACCTGGGCGAAATACTATAGTTCAAAACTGGAAATAAGTAATCCCCAAGTAAGGGACAGTTGGCATTCCCTCGTTTTACCCCACTCGGCGAGCTTGTCCACCACTTCGCTTTCCCCGCGTTTGGCTCCGCTACAAGGAGCTCATGAGAATGGAGTTGGGCACTTCAAAACCAACAACTGTACGTCATGACCATAAGGTCTTGGGCCGCCCGACCCTCTGCCCCGCCCGCCCCGCCCGCCCCTCTGACTGCGTCATTCTTCGTCTAGCCTTCCGATGGGCGCTTCTCAAAACGCATGGAAACAAAAAGCACCCGGAGTGGGGGTGGGGGTGGGTGGGGTGGGTGGTGGGGGTGGGTGGGGTGGGTGGTGGGGGTGGGTGGTGGGGGTGGGTGGTGGGGGTGGGTGGTGGGGGTGGGTGGTGGGGGTGGGTGGGGGTGGGGGGTTGCAAAACACCGAAAATGGCCAGGGGGTTCGACTTGTTGGTTTCCCCCTAAAGTGCTCGAGCCGAGGCACGGTTGAGCTGCGCGTCCACCTCGGCAGCCGTCTGCTGCAAGGAGAGATCGAAGCGGGAGAAGGTGCTGAACCTGGACGCAACCCTACCGAGCTCATGTGCGGTCCCTCGGTATTATATACATATATATATATATATATATGTATGTATGCTGACCCCCCCCTCGCATGATGCAGCTACCGTCAATTACACCATAAACCTTACAATTTGATTTGTTTGTAAGATTCGGTCATAATTATAGTATCTAATATACTGACAACACTGAATAAACCGCATCTTGCCAATCCTTCCGCCATAATATTCCCACAAATGGTTCATACATTTTGTTTTTTTGTAAAATGAATAAACTGGACCTTGCTCATCATATGTTCCGTACAATTTATGATAAACTCTCTGTAGAATATGTGAACACTACCTAAAGGAATGTGGGCATTAGATGTATACAACTTGCTTTAGATGAAATAAAAGAAAGTGGAAGAATTCACTGAACCTAGAAAAGTATGTAATACTTGGATTGAAGATAACAGAGACTACAATAGATGTAAAAGAGAAGGAATTGAGAGAGAGAGAGAGAGAGAGAAGGAAGTGAAGTGACCTACCATAAAATACTGACTACGCCAGTATCACTGCGATATATATATATATATATATATGTGAACTGCGATATATTAATAAGTGTGAACTGAGCTGATAGAAGACAAATCAGCACAAACAGACAGAAAATATCATAAGAACAGACTAAGACGGAAGGAGCATCCCGATGAAATTGAAAATGAAGAAAAGCCACATCATACAACAATGATTGATGGCACATATTTTTATTATTTATTTTGTTTTAATTCCAATAAGTGTAAAATATCAGTTATGCCTTTTCAATGGGGTAGGCATTATTTATCGCTAGAGCATTTAGGGAAGAAACTGTATAAGGAGCACCACGCCCAGTACAATGCTATAATAAAATAATCTATCATAAAACATATCATAAGATGCTTACATCCTTTGGCGGGCGGGTTTTTTGGGGGGTGTAAAAGGCATACACTAAACCGGGATTCCGAGGTCTATTCTAAGTCTCTCACCCATTTTGGCTGTGGCTCAAAAAACCGGAATTCCAAAATGGCTTGCCCTCGTAAGTGGAAACAAGCACCAAGACCTGCGGTTTGCCCCTCCTGCTTGATTTTGAGCAGCCATTTTTTCAAGCGGACACGAATCGATTCCGACTGGGTTGCCCCCAAGGGACCCTGTCCGAGGTCCCTAGGTCCCAACATGCCATGAGTTCTCGGTGGCGAAATCTGCGAAGCCCTGCAAAAAGTTTTTTTTTAGTGGTTTGATGGTAAACCCAGTTAGTTTGGAAAACGTTAAAGTTCTAACATCCCTTGGCAAAATCACCTTGGCTGGTTTGAACGAGCCTCCCTTGAAAATTGGACCCCAAAACGGGTGCCCTCAACAAGCAGCTGCTCCCGCTTCCATTCAACATGGGGTCCCGGTTTGGTAAAAGACATGTCCTCCAAGCCACAGCTTCGGGGAGAAGGTGGGCAGCTTCGGGGAGAAGGTCATGGACGCGTAATTGGAAGCCTGCCAACTTGCCATGGGTCATGGGTCCAAACCCGTACCCCCAGTGAACATCTCAATCCACCAAAATAGACTAAAATGAGTGGTGCACCTACCCCAAAATATGGTATTATTGGTTTTGACCCACAGCCATATAGCAACTGGGCTGCCCTCAGATTTCCCTCTAAAAGTGGCTAACTTTTGGTGGGCTAAATGGAAACTGCCACTAAACACTAAAAGGCTAAAAGGCTAAGGAACCGGATGGCTGGGAGCCACCAAGGTAAGTGGGTAAATGGTCATCCATTTCTTGCTCGTCTGCGAGCCGTGCCAGTGAATTGTGTTCTTCCCCAGGTCTACCTCAGCGTTTGCTCCAAACCACAAATAAGATGTTTGGCATGGGTTCTGGGCCATGTTTAGTGAAACTTGTTTTTCCCCCAAAAAAAAGAGATAAACCCCGGAAGCGAGGCATGGCCAGACAGGCTTTCCTGGCTGGTGTGGTTGGCACATAGTCCGGCCCCGTTGATTGCTGTTATAACTGGAAGAATATTTCAGCAGTCGGAGCATACACTACCTTCTGCTTCCAATCCACAAAACCCACAAAACCCACAAAACCCACAAAACCCACAAACTGCTCCTGTAAACAAACGTAAAACAAAAAAAAAGGCAACCTATAGTGGAGAACCATCGCAGGTCCTTCCAAGCACCTAGTAAAACAGGGGCACGCCTCAGATGCAAATGGTAAAGCGCTGGACAAAAGCACTGACCATTTGGTTCCCTGTACTGACCAAAACCTGAAAAGGGATTCAAGGGACTCGGCTGGCATTTCTTCTCGTGAATTCGGCAAGCACTTTGAAACGGGGGCCGTTTAGCTTGAGAGCTCTTGACTCTGACCCCCGCTTCAGTACCGGAATCTCGGCCCATCTGTTCGCATGACACGGAATCCGCAATGAATGGGAAACACGTTGGTCCAAAAAATGGGAGGACTCCCAAACACGTGCTTCCTGGCTTCCTTTGGATTACAAGTAAGATGTCCAAACTTTAGTTTTGTCGGTTTTCGTGTGTCTCTTTGGCTTCCACAAAATAAGCCCAGGTCATCGACAGACTTCGCTCCGAACTCCTAGACTGCAGCTGGATGGAACCTCCAGCTTCGGAACCCGACCTCGGACTCCCAGCTTCCTGGCAGAAACTTCCTGGTAGTTTCTTTGGTTTCCCTTTGGGTTCTTTAAGGCTTGCCCTTGGCTTCCCACAACAAAACCACACAAAAAGTGGATTATTTTGGGTGTTTCCTTAGCTTCACGTTGGCTTCCCAGAAGAAAACGGCCCATGTTTTGGCTCCCTCTCAAGACAAACTCCACCCAGCCCCCCACGGGTGTGGGTACCCCGTTGTTTCCAGTTTTGAAAGAACCGCCAAACGGAATTCCGTCCAGCAATTTCGGGGCCCCCGAGTCCTAAACCCCGACCCACCCACGGAAACCGTTCGACGCCTTTTGAATCGGCAAATCCCGGACCGACGTGGTCGAGTAGTTGTGGCCCACCTCTCTGGAGCCGCTGGACTCCTGAGGAAGCAGAGTAAAAATCCCCCCCTCCCCCCCCTCCCCCCCCCAAGATCCATCCAAAAAAAAACGACACAAAAGCCGAGGACTCGAAGAAACCCCCCCGAAACACACAAAATAAACTACCGGAGCGACCCACTCAGCCGTGGGGGTAACCCACACACAATTTTCGCCGTCAGAACGGGTGCACCCAACCAAAAGACACGAGGGGTCTCAAAGTTAGAGAATTTGAACTCACCCGTCCAACCGAGCTCCTTAAAAATTGGTTCAAAGAAAATGTGGGAGGTAGTGGTTGATGAATTCCTTAGTCTTAGTGCCCCCACATTTGGCCGCTTTGTTTGATTCATCAACCACCCATTTGCTCATCGGATCGGCCCTCAACCTCAAACCCACCCTCGCATCGCAACTCAATCCCCGTAATTTTCGCTCGGGAAAGCAGAAAAACACCCAGGCAATCCGAAACCCCAAGGCCCGAAACTTAAAACTTTGCCCTCGAAGTCGCGAAAAGCGCACACAGCCAAATATCATCGCCTTAATCCGCATGGGCATGAAACATTAAAACCAAAACTACACCCCATTGATGGATAAGATGTCTAGAGCCCTCCGAAACCGGCGAATACTGGCTCTGGATCCGATGTGCTCGCTTTTTTCTTTGCGACACGCGAGCGTCTGTTGTCGGTCAAAGATTAGAAGACATTGCCCCCCTGAATCGCCCATCCCCCTAAGGGTCCCGACAGTTCTTGGGCCGTCGGGGTTCTCCCTTGGAGGGTCCGGGGGTCTGCATTGGAGGGGTCATGACCCTTACGGGGGTTGATCAATATTCTACAAACTTTACAAACATTCCAAAAGCGAAATGAAGGGATCCGCGAGTAAAGGACCTCTATCATGGGGGTCATGACCCTTCGGGCCCAATCCAACACTCCTGGCAAATCGAAAGGGCTCTTTGCCGTGCCCTCCCTTGCACAGGTCTCCCTCACCGATGCTTCCAATGAATGCGTACACGGAATTCCATGCCCCCAAGCCGGTTTCTCTTTGTTTAAGGATACCCATGTTTGTTGATGGACACCAAAGGGAAGCCAACTATTTGGAGGGTTCCCTAGCTTCTCGGTGATACTCGGCCAAGGCACGTTCGTGCATTCCTCGATGGTCCTTTCCTCGCTTCTTAGCACCTTCCGTTTTGGCGAAGGGCGGATCAAGGAGCAAATCTCAACGAGGAGCTGCTCCTGCAAAATGCGAAGCCATCGAGAGCCTTGAAGTGCCCGAAATCTTCAGAACCTGGTATTCAATTGGTGTACCCCAACCAACGAAAAGAATTCAAAAGGCGGCCGGATGCATCTACCGGGGTTTTGATTCTGGCGTACTTCTGCCTAAAGCGTAAAGACAAATTGACCATATTCTTTGTTCAAACATCCCAAGCCAGGCAGCTGAGGGACCAATTCCTGCTTTCAGGAGACAGGGCAAGAAGCCAATGGAACACTTCTCGTTTGCTGTCTGCTCCCCTGCTAAAAGTTTAACTTTTAGTGGTTTAATGGAAAACCCATCAGCTGGCAACAAGTTAAAGTCCCAACATCCAAGCAGAATGCACCAAAGACTTGTCGGGGAAGACGTGAACTCGTGAACAGCGCGATAGCATGAGATCAGTTCAAGTCGGTACTGGTCGCCAATTCACCAGACTTTTGCAGAATAGATCCTACATAGACTTCCACATGTTCCTTTTCACGGGACCGGTTTGGGAAATTCAAAAAAAAAAAAAAAAAAAAAACGAACCGAAGCTGGGATTTCACTGACGGCGCCTCTGAATCGGGGGACGGTAGAGGTATACACCTCATCCATAGGGGGACCTATATACAAAAAGCTCCGCCACAGAATCTCCTGGAGCTACGGTCATTCGGAGGGGTCCTGTGAAATTTCCGTCAGGAACAATTACCCTCTCTGTCGGTGCTCTTAGCAAATGCCGCGTGCTTGCCCTAAACAATGCCACATTGGGTCAATCGGGCAAGCGTTGGGAAATCATCCAAACATGGGTTTGTCTCCAAATGCGAGAACTCCCAAAATGGGGTAGTTTCCTGTTGGCCTCCCTTCAAAACAACCCAAGAAGGGTACCCTCAATAAAGACACATATAGGAACAATTGAACCTTTGCATCGGGCGCATTCAATGCATCAAACACTCCAGTGTGCAAAAGCTTTGCCTGCCTTTGTCACACGGCCAAGTTAGGAAGTAGTTCGGTTATACTGCAAGTGGCTAACCTCGGTTGCTTTCTGCTCCCCTGCTAAAAGTTTAACTTTTAGTGGTTTAATGGAAAACCCATCAGCTGGCAACAAGTTAAAGTCCCAACATCCAAGCAGAATGCACCAAAGACTTGTCGGGGAAGACGTGAACTCGTGAACAGCGCGATAGCATGAGATCAGTTCAAGTCGGTACTGGTCGCCAATTCACCAGACTTTTGCAGAATAGATCCTACATAGACTTCCACATGTTCCTTTTCACGGGACCGGTTTGGGAAATTCAAAAAAAAAAAAAAAAAAAAAAACGAACCGAAGCTGGGATTTCACTTGGGGTAGTTTCCTCCGTTGGCCTCCCCTCAAAAAAACCCAAGAAGGGTACCCTCGATAAAGACACATATAGGAACAATTGAACCGTTGCGTCGGGCGCATTCAATGCATCAAACACTCCAGTGTGCAAAAGCTTTGCCTGCCTTTGTCACACGGCCAAGTTTGGAAGTAGTTCGGTTGTACTGCAAGTGGCTAACCTTGGTTGCTTTCTGCTCCCCTGCTAAAAGTTGAACTTTTAGCGGTTTATATTATAGTTGGCAAAAAGTTCGACTTGCTAACTCGGTCGAACGTGGCACTCACTTGACTCATCAGGATCCACGCTTCGAGCCTCGCCTCCGCGCCTCCCCGCAAGGGTTTCCGGGTCTCCCTGGGTTAGATGGTGGGCGGATCTCTGCATTTTCGGACAGGGCTGTCCTGCACCCAAAAAGTACACTCGGTTTTGATTGTGGCGCTGCCAAAATCCAGAATCAACATAGGCCGGACACGTGCACCTTTTCTCTGGCACGGGGACGGTTCCGGCCCCCGTCCTCGGCCTTCCCTTCCGTTGTGACCCCTCTGCTGTTGGGCCAATGGGACAACAAAGCAACGCACCTAACAAGGCTAAAAGGCCAGGAAACAATTGAGAGAAAATAACATCGGGGTGATGGCCATTCGCATACACTGGTGAAGCGGGAGGTCTCCCATAACCACGTTTGTGAATCACTTGTCAAGTGGAGCTTGCTTTGCATCCCCAAGGCAAGAATCTTCCTGAGACTCGTATCGATCTGGTAGGTTCCTTCAATGTAGAAGAAAGTCCAGCTTTGGAAGTGGCATTACTTGCTGGTGCTCAGTAAATATGGGAATGAACCCAGGGGTCCCCTTGAAGGAAACCACCAGTTGGATGGTTTATGGGATTCATTCCATTTCTCATTCCCTACAGCAAGATTACCTCCATGAACCCGGAAGGGGAAAAAAAAACGGAATCTCAATTTGAAAAACATTGAGTCACCTTTCAGCAGAGCGCTCCTGCGCCAGCAGCCTTTCAATCACGTCTTGGTGCCTGAGCTCGGTTTGCTCGCGCTTTTGCGGGGCTCACTACCTTGTAGGAAACATCAAAACGGGGGAGCTCCAAAAACGAGGGAAAAACTGGGGAGCCCCAAAATGGGCCGTTTCCTTTTGTATGTTCAGTGTGAAACACCCTGAGAGAAGGGAGTCCTCCAACAAATTTGTATAGGATATGTCGGATATGTGTAAATGTAAATAAAAACACGGTGGGTACGATCGGGGCGCCAAACAAGGCACACTCTACAAGACTCGCAGGAGGCAACCATGCTCACGCACCCCCGCCAAGAGGGTGGTTGGAGGTGTGGGGTGTACCAAAGTCTGACCTCCACTCAACCAAACCAAAAAACCGATGGGTGCCCGGATCTTTGGCCAAGTGAGCAAGTACTTGAGTTATAGCCCACTAACAGGGTTAACTCCAGAGAACGGGGGTGCTGGTGGATTGTAACCTCGGTAAGTAACAGCTTTCTATTATAGCAAACACCCAAGCCCCATGATTAGACAACTGTGATTCAGGCATCAACTGGCTCGTTTGCCAGGAGACTTTGCAGGCAGTGCTGCGCTGCACTGCCGGCGAGGCCAGCGTCGATCTCTTTTTTCTTGGAGGGGACAAAATTGGTCTCAAAACGTGTTGGTAACCCGGTTGGTTGGCAGGCAGACAGGCAAGCAAAGCAAAGCAAGCAAGCAAGCAATCAAACGAGCACGTGAAACTCGGAAAGCAACAAACCTGCACACAAGCCCTCCCATAAAACAGCAAACACACAGGCAAGCAAACGAGCAAGTCAAGCAACAAGCCTGCAAACAAACACGCAAACAAACAGACAGACAGACAAGCAAGCAAGCGAACAGAAAAACAAGCCAGCAAACAAAACAAGCACGAACGAACAGGCCGGCCCTGTCCAGGTCGCTGCTTGTCCAAGCGTTCTTCGAGACATTCGAGGTTTGGCAGTTCCAGCTTCTCTGTTCTGCCTGGGCCACGAACAGCCAGGTATGTGTGCTAGGATTGGTCATAGGAACTGGTGAACGACCAAAAGGGCAACACACAATCCCTTCTTGAGTGGAACGGTCAAACCAACTAAAACGATATGGGTCAAAACTCCTTTTCTCCCTGCGGCCTGGCAAGATTCATGCAACATTGACTTTACATGTGCCTTTGAAGCCGTCATTTTGCCAGGCACCTCATCCTGCTCATTGGCGTTCCCTTCACATTGTCCTCTTTGCCACCCTCCCCAAAAAAGATGCTTGAACATGGCATATACAGATGCCCCGCTGTTGACACGGAAGCCTTCTTTGGAACCTTTGCACTTCTGCTTTGTGCTTATCATCCAGATGACCGAAGTTCCTGGAAGATCCTTTTTCTCCCACCTGCTGTAGTCAATGTAGCAGACTGGCGCACTGGCTGCGGGATCCACCTCCTATAGTTCATCTGTTTCAATCACGCTGTCATGCTGGTTCTCCTCATACCTCTTGCGGCTTCTCCTTTGCGGGAGTGCTCAGTTGTGATCGAAATGTCTTGGGATCCATCATACATGCTATGAGGGTCTTTGCCAAGGCTTGAAGAAGCCTCCCAGACAATCTTACTCCACTCTGCCAGGGAAAGCTTTGGGCCTTGACCTCCTCATCATTGCTGGAGGCGCTCTTGTGCCACAGCTGGATTTTGATCACCCACTGTCATTTCATCTTCATTGCATGCTTCTGCAGTGTTGCCAGATGACTTCTGCATGAAGCCATTGTCCGGCTTCTTAATCAGTGGCATTTGCGCCAGCACAATCACAAAACGGCAATCACAGAACCAACAGCAAAATGACCAGCATTCACGCAAGCTGCACTTCTGTTGGCTGTTCAGTCCTATCAAGTGCAAGCAAACTCACTGATGCAGCACGTGCTTCCCCAGTGTAAAAGTCTTAGCCTTCTCCTTTCCAAAACTCCAAATTTAAAAGCTTAGCAAGGGGTCAGGCCAAGACCCGAGTCCGACAATTCCTGGGCGGAATCCAAACACACTCCCAACACAGCTACCATATTTTAAATCCCGGGGTGGGCCTTCTTTTTTAAGGCGCTCCAAACTTCAAAGCTTAGCAAGGGATCAGGCCAAGACCTGAGTTTGAGAATTCCTAGTTTGATCCTAGGCCCCAAACATCAGAATCCTTGACGTAAACCATCCAAAACACTCCCGAAACAGTTCTGACAAGGGGGTTACCCACAACGGGCCCTGATCATCTTTAAGGGGCACTGTTCGGAAATCATATGTATTTTTTCTCGGGCGGGTGGGAAATTTAATAGTCCCGACAAAACTAAATTTATGGCCAACCCCTGAAGGGCCTGCGCCCCAAAGCAAGGCCCCGACGCCCGAACCTAAAGACCTAAGTCCAGGGTTCAAGAGCAGAATGCTGGCCGATCAGAGCCAGCCTGACCCGAACTGATTCCTATGGAACACGGAAATGAATCAGGCAAGCTTGGACTGTCCCCTAACGTGCTGAACATGAGGGATGGCTTCGTTGGGTGTCTAAAGCCGTGCAACCAGAGAACAAGTGAGCCCTTTATACTCTTTCAGGCCCATAAACCCCCCTCCCCCAAAAAGAGCCTTGATTCTGGCATCTCAAACAGGCCGATCTTTTTGGATTTTGGGAAGAGGACAACAGGATACCATTAACAAAACCATTTTGTTTTCATGGTTTGAAGGGAAACCAACCCAAATGTTGGGACTTGAGGCGACGCGGCTTACGCCAGGCGACGCAAGATCAGCGATGGCCTCCGCGAAGTTGAGCGCGAATCCAGTGCCTCCGTGCAAGCCTCAGCCAGCTCCCTGAAGATGTCGAACAAAAGGAGGCGTTCAGCTGGATCTGTGTGTGTGTGTGTTTGCGTCTGTGTTCGTGTTTGCGTTCGGTTGTGTGTGTGTGTGTGTGTGTGTGTGTGTGTGTGTGTGTGTGTGTGTGTGTGTGTGTGTGTGTGTGTGTGTGTGTGTGTGTGTGTGTGTGTGTGTGTGTGTGTGTGTGTGTGTGTGTGTGTGTGTGTGTGTGTGTGTGTGTGTGTGTGTGTGTGTGTGTGTGTGTGTGTGTGTGTGTGTGTGTGTGTGTGTGTGTGTGTGTGTGTGTGTGTGTGTGTGTGTGTGTGTGTGTGTGTGTGTGTGTGTGTGTGTGTGTGTGTGTGTGTGTGTGTGTGTGTGTGTGTGTGTGTGTGTGTGTGTGTGTGTGTGTGTGTGTGTGTGTGTGTGTGTGTGTGTGTGTGTGTGTGTGTGTGTGTGTGTGTGTGTGTGTGTGTGTGTGTGTGTGTGTGTGTGTGTGTGTGTGTGTGTGTGTGTGTGTGTGTGTGTGTGTGTGTGTGTGTGTGTGTGTGTGTGTGTGTGTGTGTCTGTGTGTGCGTGTCTGTGTGTTTGTGTCTGTGTTCGTGTTTGCGTTTGTTTGTGTGTGTGTGTGTGTGTGTCTGTGTGTTTGCGTCTGTGTTCGTGTTTGCGTTCGGTTGTGTGTGTGTGTGCATGTGTGTCTGTGTGTTTGTGTCTGTGTTCGTGTTTGCGTTTGGTTGTGTGAGTGTCTGTGTGATTGTGTCTGTGTTCGTGTTTGCGTTCGTTTGTGTGTGTGTCTGTGTGTCAGTGTCTGTGTTCGTGCTTGCGTTTGATTGTGTTTGTCTGTGCGTGTGTGTCTGTGTGTGTGAGTGTGCGTGCGGGCGTGCGTCGGCGTGTCTGCGTGTGTGTGTGTGAGAGAGATTGTTTGTGTTTGTGTTTGTGCTTGCGTTCGCGTTTGTGTTTGCATTTGCGTTTGTGCTTGTGTGTTTGCGTTTGTGTTTGTGTTCGTGCTTGTGTTCGCGTTTGCGTGTGTTTGCGTGTTTGTGTGTGTGTGTGCGCGTGCGTGCGCGTGTGCCTGTGCGTGCGCGTGTCATGTGTGTGTGTGTGTGTGTGTGCGGTTTGGTTGTTTGCTTGATTTGTTTGCTTGCTTGCTTGTTTGCTTGTTTGCTTGCTTGTTTGTTTGTTTGTTTGTGTGTTTGCGTGTGATTCTGTGTGTTGGTGTGTGTGTGTGTGTGTTTGCTGTTGTTGAGGGTACCCTTGTCGGGGTTGGTTTAAAGGAAAGCCAAAAGGAAAACCACCACACTCTCGCTGGTCACAAGAAAATCACAAAACCGATGCCTTCCTCCCAAATCCGCTGACGCCAGGCGAGCGTGTAGATGGCAGTCCGCAACTTGGTCTTCCTTCGGATCTCTTATCAAAGCCGAAGGCTTTTGGGGCTGCCTTTTTTTGGGCATTGTGTGCTGGGTGCCCAAAACCCTGTAATTGTCCAGTGTTTTTGGAGCTTGCCTGCTAAAAACCTGCGTTTCGCCTAGGTCTCTAGGGGGGGGGGGTTCCCTCGGACGCGCAGGATCTGCATCCCCAACATCATCAGGGTTACCTTGCTGCTATGAATTTGTCTCTTTTTTGGCAGATACTAATGGTGTTTTGCTGCTTCAAGCGATGTTGGAATCGGCCTGTTAGGGGTCTGGGTGGGGCCAAGTGCAGTGATACGTTGAGGAACTGCTTGGATTTGCAAAAATGAGTGTTTTTTTGCAATTCCCCACCTGTAAGAGCAGTTACTGCGAAACATCCCCTGCGTTATCGTGCTTTTGGAAGTCAATTTTTAGGGTATTTGAAGGGGGTTGCTAGTATCTGTTTTTCATGGTTGATTTTGGGAAATATCAACAAATCCTGTTGTTTTTTTGACTTTTTTGTGGCCAGCCGGCTGCATTCCCAGCATTCCCGACATCTCTGGTATTTTCTGTGTTACGCCAATTTTGCGTGTCTGAAAGTCTTGAAATGTTGGATGGGAAGATTGGGTCTGTTCCTGTAAGTTGTGTGGTTGCATCCCTTGCTTTTCCAGCATCCCCAGCATCTGGGACATGTTTCCTGCCTGAAAAATAGGAAAGTGCCAAGAAGGCCTTGTTGTGGCACTTTCAGACTTCCACGACAAAAAACAAAAGGTCTCAAACAATTCCTTGCACCCCACTGGCGTCGGCGGATCGCGTAGCGATTTCAATCAGTCAAGCGGGAGGTCACCAGAAAGCAAACCCCGCTTGGAATAGGTCGCCGTGCCTCTCACCGCTACTCTCGAACTTCAAGGGCTCCATTGACGCGATTTTCTTTTGGTCACTACACTGACCAAAGCCAGAGTCGCCTTTTTCACAACCTGCGTTTGGCGATGGGCAACATATTCTTTTGGCCAATCCGAAAACACAATGGAAAGGAGTGCAACGCGAAAATCTTCCTCCTCCCGGTCAACTGGAGGTCACCCGCAAGGATCATGCATAGGTCACCGGCGGCGTGTCAAAAACCGAGAACCATTGGCAACGCAGCTGCCGCTCTTGCTTCTTGGAGTCCGCATGCGTGCCCCCGGTATGTTGGTACCTTCAAAAAGCCTGACCACAAGCTTACTCATAAGTGAAGGGACAAATTCGAATCAAAAAGTCCACAATGTGTTAGCGCTACACAGGACTTTGAGAGCACAGCCTTTGCACCAAGCCGACGGCTAGAGTCCTTACTCCGTTCGACTTTCCGACTGCTCGGCCTTTTCTGGCGGATTGTGAGCAGAAAATCGACACGTCCTTTCAGGAAGGAGGATCAGAACCAAACTGAAACCAGTGAATCCGAATCGGCCGAGCTCGCTTGTCTACACCTACAGCGAAATCCATTTCGCACCACCTTAGTCCTATGATGTTTCCCCTGTCAATACCAACAAACTTGGCTTATAGCTTCAAAGTGGTCAGTATCACATCCGTCAGCCTGAGGAACCCGCGTCCAACTCCTCCGCGACGATGTAGTCCGGCGGACCCTTCCAGCCCATCGGGGCCATGGAGTTCAAAAAAGGCTTCCGAGACCACGTCCGGAGCGGAGGGCGGGAACAAAAACAACACCTCCGAGCGGTTTGCTTTGCCGCAAATTTGTTTGATATTCACCAACAAGAAGTGGAAAAAACAAAGTTCAGGGTCGTCACCCACAAAAACCGGGCACTCAGCACCTGAGAAATGAACTTGGGAAGACCCGCCCGCCGAAAAGCAGCCTTCAGCCTCGAGCCAGAAACGCGGCGAAACGCGGCGAGGCGCCTCTGTTAAAACAAAAAAGGAGAAGACACATTTGGCTGTCAACAAACCGACACCAAAATGGCTTGCCCGATCGGAAAGTGGAAACATGGACCAACACCTGCGGTTTGCCCCTCCTGTTGAATTTTGAGCCACACCCATTTGAGTCATGATCAAAACCCGGTATTAGAATGGTCTACCCACCATGAAAAGAGTTCAAAAGGCGAATTTCCGAAGCTACTTATGGCTGGGATTGTCGGCGCATCATCATTTGAGGTTTGTTTCCGGGAAACTCGCCATTTTGGGCGGTTCCCTTTGGTTCTCTCCCAAAGTACCAACATATGCTGGGAACACAGAAGGGAGGGAACGGAGGGTGTGGAAGGAAGGGACGGCAAGAAAGAGGCAAGACAAGGAAAAGAGAGGAGATATTAAACCAAAGGGCAAAAAGAAGGGAACACCGAACGCCAAAAGAGAAGAGGAAAAAAAAGAAAAAAAGGAAGGGAAAGAACGAAGTGAAGAAAAGAGGGAAAAAGCCAAAGGAATGGAACGAAAGGGGGAAGGGAAAGAAAAACATCCATGCAACTGATCCAGATTCGCCAAGATCCTTCCCTCCAGTCCGGGAGTTTGGCAACCGCCACCAGCCTAAGGCTGGTTTACATCAGGAAGCCTCCAGGACTTATGGGGCCTTTGGCCACTGGATTGGCCCAAGTGGAATTCACTCGCCTGAGAAACAAACCAGAAGACATGGATGCCTTCTGGTTTTTCACTCAGCCATGCAGGCAACCTCTGAGACAATCAGATTGGCAAACTTACTGAGCTTCCCGCTCGCTCAGAAAAAGCCTCGAGCTTTTAAGCGTGGCTGCCCAAAACGTGGTGTGATTCTCACTGGGAGATGCGGGAATGAACACATTCCAACTGCTACAACATAGCCCAATTGTGGTTGGAGGATCTTCACATCCCCGAGTGCCTGAGAAATACGACATCAAAACTTCAAAAACTTCGCGGGGGGCGGGCCATCATCGAGTTCCCTGCAGGCCCTCTCAGGTGTCACCAAGATCTCCTAGAAGACTTGGCCTTTGGGAACAAACACAGGTGAAACTTGTTTCCGGGAAATACCATGCTGTACATGAGATGATGCCCCAAAAACCTAATCTTGACCCCCCCCGCGCCCCCCCCCCCCCCGGCAACCCTGCCCCCTGCCCCCTGCCCGGGCGCTGCCCTCTCTCCGTTTCTTTTGCTTGATACCCTCCCGCCCCCCCCCCCCCCCGGCCATCCCCGCTTTCCTTCTCCCTTCGCGCATGGCGCCACTCCGCCCCTCAACCCCGCTCCTCAGCCCCGCCCCGAGCCGCCGCGCAAGCCCAGGGTGAAGTCCGCCAAGATGGCGCCGGTATTGAGCACCATCACTTCCGCCTGCACTGGCAGCTCCGCGATTCGTGACGAGTGGAGAAAAAAACAACAACTAAGATACACCTGGCGCACGTTGCAACGTGTTGGTGGCGTACGCTGCGTACATCGACATGGTCGTTGGGTTGAAAGGTTCGACCCCCAGACCTGGAAAGGCTTGGGAGGCTTGAACAGCTAGGAGTAAACCATGACAAATGTTCACGCGAAGTGGCTTGTATAGACCTTTGGGCCGCCATACAAACAGGCTCCGCCCACGACTCAACTCGGCCCAAGACAGTCAAGTCTCTGAGTTGCATAGCGAGCAAACCAGCACCCTGTCTCAGGCACTGATTATGTTGAACCAAAATGACACCAGTGCTATCCATGTTTATTATATATTAAGCCTTGCCTCTAGCAGTAACTCTTGACCACCAATTTACCTCAAATATACCCCCCAATTTGTGATAGAGGCAAGCCCTAATTTATATACATATGGGCAGTCGAGAAGTCAGAAATCGGCAAAGAATCCTCAAGGGGAATTCATGGGCTAACTGCTCACGTTTTACCCCCGGACCGGTGAGCTCGTTTTAATTCGCTCCATGCAACGCATGCACCAGCCGCTTGAGGTTTGCGTTTTTGCGCTTGGAATCAGCATGCTAGCTCCGTAGGCCGTGGGTTTCCAGATCTCCTGAAGGCTCCGGGAAAAAGAAAGAACAACTTATGGGACTTTGACTCAAACTGAACTCACAGGAAAAGCACAGGATCTCAAGGGTCATTTCCCGTCGATTCGCTTTGGGGACCTTGTTGCCTATCACCACTTTCCAGAGGCGACCCTGACTTTTTCGACCCCCAAGCTCTTTGGGCCCAAGGCAAAATCGGTCAACAGATCCCCACACCGCCAGCCTCGCCATTCTCCGCAAGCGCCTGAAACGCAGCGACCTGGCATTGGAATTGGGGGCCCGTTAGCAGCATCCCGGGTGGTGGGGGTAGGCTGGGAGATGCGGGTGTGAATTTTGGGGGACCCGAAATGGATGGGGATGCACTCGGTCAGTGAACATTCATAGCCATATCCCGTGTGGAGCGGGGTGCCCCAATTCCAATTTTAAGGGGGATGTAAGTAAAGATATAGCTGGGGGCGCCCAAACATCGCCTGCCGGTTGCTTGACAAGCCGTGGACCCGTTTTCACCATGGCTGCAAACCACCATGGTCCGAGTGAAAGAAGGCCACAGCCAGCAAAAACTACCGGGCTCGGTTGGAAAGCGAGAGACAGATCCATAAGTAGATAGTTCAAGTCCAGCATGTAGCTTTCCAGGAAATCTATTGTCAGTATCATTCTACTCTCCTCTTTGCCAAAACGGTCTAGACTAGATTCACCAAACTAGCTCAGGAAAACTTGATATACACAGTCTCGCCAACGCACACTGTGACACGCGACCGGAACTATCTGCGTTCACGTGCTACACTCCGGGTCAAGGATCAAACAACTCGTCCATCCAATCGTTCTTTTCAGGAGCAGTTGACACATCTCAAGGTATGAGCCTCGGCAACACACTTCTGGGTCGCCATTTGAGCAGCGCTTTTGTTGGGGAAGGTCATGCTGATGACGTATCAGACGTCTACGCCGGCGCCTGCGGGACGGCCTACGCATGGTGTATGTCGGTCTTAAAACGCCTATGCGAGCCTAGGCGGTTGGAGTTTTACTCTCCAAGTGCCTACGCGGTGTGCGTCCTGCGCTAAATCCGTGCGTGCGCACCTGCTAGCAACCTGTCAAGCTCATTGGCCCATGCGTCGCGCAGCAGAATGGCATGGGCTGGCGGATTTGCCCACGTGGATGTTGAGACCCGGAGAATGCTCGCTGCGCGCCAGAAAGCCGCTCCACTGGGCCGCAAGCTCCAGACTCGAAGGCGGACAGCTTGGTGCACCAACTGACGGGCGGCGGTCTCTCACGCTTCTGCTCGCAAAAGCTATCAGCACCGTGCTGAGACGCCTGGCCCCATCGAAGCTTGCCACCTACACCGTGGGAGGTCTCGCCCCTCACCCGCATGATCCGACCTCTCCGGCGCCATCCCGAGGCAAAAGCCGCCGAGCCAGGCGCCCTTTGGCGAAGGTGAAGGGCTTGAAAACCACCCCAAAACCACCAATCCAAACCACCTGGAGTCTCCATGACCCTTTAAAAATGGGTCCATGACCCCTCTATTTTGGGCAATGACCCCATTTTTAAAGGGTCATGGAGACTGCAGGCACTAGCCAAGGGGAAGCTGATCATGGTCTTCGTAACCCAAGTGCGGCAAGCCACTTCACTTGGACATGGACCCGTCCCGGCCTCCGCGCTCACGATGCGGCCGCTGGCCACGTTGGTCACCTTGGAGTCAAGCGAAGGGGACACTCGCTGGCTACAAGTCCTGCATCTTCTGATTCCATTCTCTTCAAAGGTGATTTCTAGAGAGAACGCTGGGTGAAAAGAATGGGGAATCAAGTCTTAGAAGGGTGTCCTTGTTCATCACGGTCGCGAAAAAGCATTTCCGCACGTACGCTTCCTAAAACGGACTTCCCAAAATAAAGGTGACAAATTCCAGGAACTGAGGGAGTGAGAACCAAGACAAGTAGGGGTGCGGGCCAAAAAAAGGCTTTCTAGCTTCATGCAGGCGCATGCAACCCATCAGGACCTCTGAATGTCCGCAAGGTTCGATTTCGGTGATCCGGGGAATCGATGCAAAGGTTTGGCTTTGGATTTCTTGGCCACGTCACTCCAATCGGAAGTTTCGGCCTCGCTGTTTCTCGTTGCGTCGAGAGAAGAACCCTCACTTACCAAAGGCCCTGGAAAACAAAGACAACCTGGCCCAAAGTGGGAAAACGAAAAGGTGAAAAGATCGATTCGCTTTTGGCCGAGAACCCAAACAAAACCGGTGGCTTGCCTTAGGTTTTCCTTTAAACCGACCACACAGGTGACAGGAAGACATGGCCCGCGTCGCCCGGAGCTACGCCTCCCGGCGAACATGGCCTGGTCCGCACGAGCCTCCAAGCGCAAGAGCGTGGTGTGCCTCACGCTGGCGACTCGCGACCGACGGCGTCGCCCGGTTTTTGAGGCCCGGGGCTCCAGAAAACAATATCACGCGAGTGGCAGTGCCAGGAAACATTGAGTTTTGCACGACTTGCCGAACTTGTCTTGTGGGTACCACCTTTGCAACATGGCCTTGGCAACCAAACCGTTCACTGAATGACTGAATGATGCGTGAACAGTGCAGGTGGTCGCTGCCAGGATCCATTTGTTTTGGCAGTGGCGCGTGCCGTGCGCCTTGTAGAAAAAAACATCCGTATGCGGGAAAACATATCAAACAGTCTTTGCAACCAAGCCATGAAAAACCCACTCAGCACCAACACAAACCACCAGGAATCAAACTCACTCCACCTCACTCCACCTCACTCCACCTCACTCCACCCACGACCCCGACTGGAAGCCATCTCAGACGGCCGCCGCTGCGCCAGCGGGCAGGCCAGAAAGATTTGGCCTACGACTTCAAAAGAAAACCCGCGAGAAAGAGACAAAGAGAACGGGAAACCCCGAGAAAGACAAGAGCGGGAGAGAGAGAGAGAGAGAGAGAGAGAGAGAGAGAGATCTGAGAAGCAACAACAAAAAAGGCGGAGTCAGAGAGAAAAAAGAGCAGAAAAAAGAGAGAAAATAGCGAAAAGAGTGACAAAAGAGAAAAAAAGAAAGGCGAAGAGAGAAAAAAGGAGAGACAACACAGAAAAAACACAAAACTGAAAGAGAGAAAAGACTGAGAATGGTGACACAACATAAACCAGCGGAAAAAAAAAGTGCAACAGAGAAAAGAGAGACAAGAGAGTAAAGAAAGAACATATAACACAAAAGATAGACAAGAGCGGAAAGAAAGAACCAGAAAAGAGAAAACACATTCGAACACAGACAATAACCGACAACACTGACAAACGAGTAAATAAAAAGGAAGGAACGAAGAGCAAAGAGAGAAAATAGAGACCAGGAACACAAGAGCCAAGCAAAGAAGCTGTAGAACAAATCGAACCGAACTTAAAGAGATACAAAACAAGTAGAGAGACGAGAAACGATGGAGGGAGGGAGAGAGACGGAGAGACGTGGAAATAATAAAAAGAGAGAGAGCGGGAGACTGAGATAGAATAGAGATGAATCGAGAGAGATAGGGAAAAAGGGAGAGGGAAGAGAGAGGAAAGAGAGAGAGAGAGAACAATAAAACAACAAGACAGAGAGGGAGACAGGGAGAGAGAGAGAGAGAGAGAGAAATAGAGAGAGAGAGAGAGAGAGAGAGCCAGAGATAGTAAAAAGGGGAGGGGAGAGGGAGCTCAGAGATAGAGAGAGAGAGGTTGCTGCAATTTGTGTTGCTGAATTTCGGAAGTTTGATTCGAATGGCTCTCACGAATGCAAAGCAAGGGCAACGTCCGAGATGTGGCCACAACATCTGCATGAAAATAAATACCAGTGCTGCTAATTCTTCGCAGGCCAGACTCATTTTCTGCTTCCAAAAAGAGAACGAAGGAACAACATGATCCACTTCGCATTAAGCCCAGCCAAATCTATTGCTTGTGAATCTGTGAGAAGTCCTTCGGATTGGGCTTGAAACAGGATTTCCCTCCAGGTGGCATTGTGGTTTCCCTTTGACGCCCGTCCAAGGGGTCCTATATTTTGAGAACGGCCTTTCAACCAGCCCGCATTACCGCATTAGTCCCCGGTGAATGTTCATACCCCCCCGGAGGTTTCCGTTTTACCCTAGGTCGGCTGATCCTTTGCGACCAGATCTGTGGCACCTTCAGCCGAGCGGATACTGCCTCCAGAGCCAGGTGCCAACTCCATGCCACCTTCGCCTCAGATCGGAATCCCAAAAACCCATTGAAAACCCGCGAAACGGCCGGGTTTTCGGGTGGTGTCCAGCTTCAAATTACCAAAAGGTTCCCAACAAGTCCGACAACCCTTTCTGAGCTTGTGTCGGGCTTTGTGGGTCTGCAGCCGAAAAGCAGATGACTAAGGGAAGATTGAAGAGGACAACCATGCCTAATTATTCATAACACCTTGCCAACCTTGGCAAAGAGGCCCATGTCCATGCTTGCAAGTGGACAAATCATGATTTTAAGCGGCTCCGGAGAGCAAAGGGCCTTCACAATTCATTGCATGAAGCCACGTGGACCCATTGCCATCTTGAAAGCCTTTCGTCGTGGCCGGTGTCCCACAATTAAGACATCCATAATGTACTGAAGGGGTTTACATATGTGTCCCTACCTTCAACCTTTGAGGGAGACGCCCAGGGTCCAAATCTGTTGAAACACCTGTGCACTGGTCCTAACCAGGTACAGCTAAGGAGCTGAGTCGCCCTGGGTAAAAAACAAAAAGAAAGAAGAAGAAACACCCAGACTGTCCATTCCTACCTGGAGTCTCCATGACCCTTTAAAAATGGGTCCATGACCCCATGATTTTGGGTAATGACCAACCATTTTTAAAGGGTCATGGAGACTCCAGGTAGTGGTTTCCGACATTTGAGGCGATTCTGTGCAGGAGAAAAGCCGTCCATGAGGCTGAGAAGAAAAACAACAACAAAAAAACGCCCGCCTCACACCCCGAGTGCCGCCCGAGCCACAGAACCCGTCCACCATGTACATGGGGGACTGCCCGGACTGCGCGCGCGCCAAGTCCTCGCGCAAGCGCACCGCTCGTTTCGGTTCGATGGCTGGAGGAGCTGTGGAAGGAGAGGCACATGGGAAGGGGAGGTACTTGTCATAGGTGAAGATGGACGAAATCCGCTTCGCACCAAATTGAAACCATGGTTGAAACCATTGTTTGCTGGCATCTACAGGGCATCATTGTTCCAGGGCTTCTGAATGGTGGATGGGTGGCTAAGACACCCTGGAATGATTCGTTTCCCCAAACACCAGCAAACAATGGTTTCAACCATGGTTTCAACTTGGTGCGAAATGGATTTCGTCCATCCACAGTAGGTGCGGCTGATGTTGGTTCTGCATCTATACTTCGTGTTTGCAGGATTCAAAAGTTGTGTTGGGGCACAGTTTCGTCCTCAATCCTGACTGCGGTTTAGGGGTTCGGTTCCACCCCGGTCTTCCCTGTGCATGTAATTTCTATAGTTTATTAGATTCAATTAAAATGTTAGGCCATTTTTCAGAAACAGGAGGAACTGGAGGTTGGGGTTGCGGATGAAACTTGGAAAATGCAGGGTTCATCCAACGACGCCGCAGTAAAAAGGGCGAGCTGTAAAAATACAAGTAATGAAATTTAGAGCTGGACAATGCCACAAGTCTCTTACGAGGCCCTAAAGCTCAGGTTTGGTGCGAAACCTAAAAGGAAATGAACCGCGAGCTTCCCCTTAAACTTTAGCTATATAAAAGGTAGATGAAAAGTGCACAAATTGCAGCCCCTCGCGTAGAAAACACACAAAATAACAACACTTCACAGGCCCCTCGCACACTTACGCGAAATAAACAAGACCTTGTAGCCCCTCGCGCAATTAATTACACGCAAAATAGATCAAGCAACAAAGCCTTTGGAGAATTTGCAGCCCCTCACGCACAGTCTTTGCAGCCCCCCCACGCAGATTAACACACGAAGGTAACAGCTACAAAAAACGGGCGTTGCACGCCACTGACTTTGCAGGGTTGCTGAGACGCGCTGACACGCAAAGACCAATAACGACAAGGCAGTTCACCCTTCATGACCCCTCCAATGCAGACCCCCGGACCCTCCAATGGAGAACCCCAACCCCTCACGGGCCCTCAAAAGGAGGGCCCAAAAACAGTCGGGACCCTTAGGGTAAAGAGATTGTCCAATCTACCAGGGCTCAGCCAAGTCAATCTAGCCAAACCTGTTTAGCTCCCAGTAGGGAGCGCCTGAGTTGGTCACCATGCATCTGCGCAGCGAATCCGTCCCTTTCGATCGTTTGGAGGTTCAGCGGAATCATGATTTGCCACAAGGTTTGAGGTTCACCAGGCTACCCAGAACCTACCTTGGCAACCTGCGCATTGATCCGTTTTCCCTGGAAACCGCTGGACAATATGTCATCCTTGCCACAAGGATTGAGGTTCACCAGGCTACCCAGAACCTACCTTGGCAACCTGCGCATCGATCCGTTTTCCCTGGAAACCGCTGGACAATATGTCATCCTTGCCACAAGGTTTGAGGTTCACCAGGCTACCCAGAACCTACCTTGGCAACCTGCACATCGATCCGTTTTCCCTGGAAACCGCTGGACAATATGTTATCCTTGCCACAAGGTTTGAGGTTCACCAGGCTACCCAGAACCTACCTTGGCAACCTGCGCATCGATCCGTTTCCCCTGGAAACCGCTGGACAATATGTCATCCTTGCAACAAGGTTTGAGGTTCACCAGGCTACCCAGAACCTACCTTGGCAACCTGCGCATCGATCCGTTTTCCCTGGAAACCGCTGGACAATATGTCATCCTTGCCACAAGGTTTGAGGTTCACCAGGCTACCCAGAACCTACCTTGGCAACCTGCACATCGATCCGTTTTCCCTGGAAACCGCTGGACAATATGTTATCCTTGCCACAAGGTTTGAGGTTCACCAGGCTACCCAGAACCTACCTTGGCAACCTGCGCATCGATCCGTTTCCCCTGGAAACCGCTGGACAATATGTCATCCTTGCAACAAGGTTTGAGGTTCACCAGGCTACCCAGAACCTACCTTGGCAACCTGCGCATCCATCCGTTTCCCCTGGAAACCGCTGGACAATATGTCGTCCCTGTCACAAGGATTGAAATTCACCAGGCTACCCAGAACCTACCTTGGCAACCTGCGCATCCATCCGTTTCTCCTGGAAACCGCTGGACAATAAGGTTCACCAGGCTACCCAGAACCTACCTTGGCAACCTGGAAACCGCTGGACAATATGTCGTCCTTGCCACAAGGTTTGAGGTTCACCAGGCTACCCAGAACCTACCTTGGCAACCTGCGCATCCATCCGTTTCCCCTGGAAACCGCTGGACAATATGTCGTCCCTGTCACAAGGTTTGAGGTTCACCAGGCTACCCAGAACCTACCTTGGCAACCTGCGCATCCATCCGTTTCCCCTGGAAACCGCTGGACAATATGTCGTCCCTGTCACAAGGTTTGAGGTTCACCAGGCTACCCAGAACCTACCTTGGCAACCTGCGCATCCATCCGTTTCCCCTGGAAACCGCTGGACAATATGTCGTCCCTGTCACAAGGTTTGAGGTTCACCAGGCTACCCAGAACCTACCTTGGCAACCTGCGCATCCATCCGTTTCCCCTGGAAACCGCTGGACAATATGTCGTCCCTGTAGGTTGGAGGTTCACCAGGTTACCCAGAACCTACCTTGGCAACCTGCGCATCCATCCGTTTCCCCTGGAAACCGCTGGACAATATGTCGTCCCTGTAGGTTGGAGGTTCACCAGGCTACCCAGAACCTACCTTGGCAACCTGCGCATCCATCCGTTTCCCCTGGAAACCGCTGGACAATATGTCGTCCCTGTAGGTTGGAGGTTCACCAGGTTACCAAGACCCATCCAAGCCATTCGTCTTGTCCCATCCTGGAGGTAGAAATTTTCCAGCTGCGAGAAGAGGCAGCTCCCGGCCGGGCGGTTGCAGGCTTCGGGCTGGTACCTTCCCGGAAGGCCTTCCGGCCCCGGTGGAAGGGTGCGCCACGGGTTTTTCTCATGTCTTGCTGGTGCGAGAGATGCAGGGAATGAGGGAATTCGGCAGGGAATGAGTGTGAATGACCCACTTTTTTCAACCATCCCCTATGGCTTGCTTTGTTTGGGAACATAGGCAGGGAATGAGGGAATGACCCTGAACCATCCAACTGGTGGTTTCCTTTACTCGAGGATGCCCAGGTTCATTCCCTCATTCCCTGCCTATTGCACCAGCAAGTCATGGAACTCAATCAAAAAGGGTCCAACTCTGTGTGATAGTTCCCCCCCCCAAAAGAAAGAAACGTCATGGAACCCCAAAAAGCAGGTTGCCCAAGATGGACCTCCTCTGAAAGGTCCCATCTGAAGGGAAAAACCTGTCGTAAGACTGGTGACATCCTCCAGGCTTTTCAAGCAAATCACTCTTGGCCCACACAATTTTGAGCCGTAACAAAGGCAGGTTGCTCTTGACACAGGCAAATTTTGTCGGACAGTGGCCAGTGGCCCGTGCAAACGGCCCGAAAAAAGGCCCGATATAGGACAAAATCAAATGGGTCGAAGAGAATCCTGGTTCCCCACAGGCAACCCCCGGATCTTGCACAAATACAATGGGACTCTCGGGATTTTCACGAAAAGCAGAGTGCGAACACTTCCTCCTTTTGAAGGAAACCTGGGATCAGGTGTCTTCTCAGAAAAAAAGGGGGTCGAACTTTGGAATAGAAGCCAGGCTTCCAACCCCGGGACCTCCGAGCCAAATCCGGAGCAGTACTGGGCAGTGCAAGCTGATTCCCTGCCAAAAGCTTTGAACTTGTGGCTGACATTCGGAAACGAAACCCGCTAAACCACCCGGAAAAGATCCAAAAGAGGCCTGAGGAACCGGATGGCTCCACTAAACCACCCAAAGGACACCCCGAAACACGAAACCACCTAAAAGGATCTAAGAAAGCCTAAGGAACCACCCAAAAAGATCCAAAAGAGGCCTCAGGCCTAAGGATATTCTTGGGGATGTTCCTCTAGGTCTCAAACCCATAGGCTGCACGAGGCTCGGGCTCACGACTCGACTCTCGACTCGACGTCTCCGGCCTAAAGGCTGTGAAGGACACGCCGATCTTGTCGCAGGTCCTAAGAACCCCCCGGCGCCCGGTCCGAGGTTTCAAGGGCCATCAAGGGCGCCTGGAAACGGGGCATCCCAAAAAGAACCGAGAGAATTCGGGGAACGGAGTCGGGGAACGGGTTGAGACGACTGGTGCTCCAGCTCTGGAAAATGGATGGGCTCCCTTTGGTTTCATTGAACAAACCACCCCTGGTGGAGGGTTGCACCCCCCAAAAAAACGGGACACGCTTAAAATTGAGTGGTTGGAACAACCAGGAATCCTTTTACCGATCCCTTTTAGCGTCAGAAATCCTAGACTCGGCGGACCGATTCGATAGTCTGTGGCGTGGTTCCTCAGGGAGAGAGAGGCGTGGTTCCTTCCGTTCGTTTGGACTCCACAGACCCCCGGTATGAGAGCATCTACCATAGGGACCCAACAAATGGCTGATTCCTTCAGATTTACTCTTGACCGCCATCCAAAGAAAGTCCCTTATTTTCGAACACACCCGAATGGCATCCACTACTGTCGGCATCCATTGTTTGCTTCCGATGATCCAAAGGAAAAACCCAAAACTTCAAGTCCGAATTGGATCCTCAAGTGAGCTGGACCTACATAGTGAGCTCGCCGCGCCTGCCGGAAAGATCGAAGAGAGACCTGGCAGAAGGCAAGGCGTCTTGCCTAAGACGAACATCCTGCTGTAAAAAGGCTGGGCCAATCCGGGTGTGGGTCAAAATGAAAGCACCAGAGGACCGCAGGTGTGTAATCCATGCCCAGACACCTGAGTCACAATCAAGACCTGGCAGAAGGTCTGCCCAAAGCCATGCAGGGTGTTGATTGTGACTCACCTACAGGAGCAGCATGGGACTCAAATCCCAGGAATCTGTCACGCTTCCGAGCTCCCCAAGAACTGATCCAATGAGCAAACCCGTTTTGGATCCTGGCCCTATCCAAGCGGGCATTCTAGAGGCTTGGCTGGTCACCTCTGTCATGTGTACGCAATATGGTCAGAGCTGTCCTTCGTACGGTGAGCATTGGTGAGTCGCGCGGCGGCGGCCAGTCCATGCTCCGTGCAAAGAAGGCGAGCTAGTGAAGAATGTGTATGAAGGATCGCAACAAACTCAACAAGCCCATACCCAAGAATCTGCTCTCTGACAATCCCGCCAGTGCTCGGCCCAAGATGGCCTCACCCATTTGTTTATTCCTGTGTCTCTAGCAATACTCGATGGTCAGAAGCACTGAGCGAAGAGAAGAAACCCACTGCAGGGGCTTCTTGATCTTCACAAAATCCTGGAGACTGTCCACCAATGATATCAGTTGTGTGTACCTGCGCTGATCCTGCCGCACTCATCAGAATTGTCCACACTGCCAGCACCTGTCACAGGTTTTTGCGAGCAAATGAAGTGTCGACTTGGCTCCAAAGAAAGAGGGTGGCATGTAATTCTGAAAAACGAAGCAGTCCTAGATGCTGTGGCCACCGTTCCTTTTCAAAGTAATCTGAAGCCAGTAGGCTTAGGTGTCGAAAGGACAATCAATGGAAAACAACCCGTTTTGAGAATATCCATTTGGACAACGATGCTCAATAACTCTGTCGTTTGTGGGTCACGGGCATGGCTTCCCGAACGACCCTTCTTAAGGGGCAACCATGACCGTCCCAGACAAAAGGAATGATGAAACTGGGCTGCCCTCAGATCCCCTGCTAAAAGTTTAACTTTTAGTGGGCTAAATTGGAAACCCCACTAAACCCTAAAAAGCTTAAAAGCTAAGGAACCGGATGGCTGAAAACCGCCAAGGAAAGGCAACTTCAGCGCCTGCCAGCGCGCCACAAACCCCTCCCCTCGCCTATCCAGCAGCATCGCAGTGCGCAGGGGCCTCAAGTGGCAGCTGGGCAAAACGTTCCCAGAACCAACCTTCTGGATTCAAAGGCTTAGTGAAGGAGTCCCTGTACAATGGAACCTCCCGGTAAGAGGGAACCCTATGTCGTTCTGGCGAGATCACACCCTATGTGTCGTTCTGGCTGGTTTGAGCTTGGAACCTATTCTTGAAATTGAATTATTGAACATCAAATCCAAAAATTGCAACAATTCCAAAATCCTGGACCCCCAATTGTTCCGATCATTGGAATTATTTGGCCTGGCTTGGGGCCAAATGGGATTATCAAATATTGCAATTGTTGCCACTATTGCAACTATTGGATTGAATTCCAACAAATGCAATAATTGCAATAGTCAACCGGTCCCAGATTTGGCCCCAAGCCAGCCTCAAAGAGTCGAATATGCACTCCAGAGTCGGCAATGTGTCGCAGGTCCCCAGTTACCCAGGGAACCCAGGGAACCTGGACGACGCGAGGCTTCCCGGCTGACTGGCATCCACCCGCTCGTGTCCTGACGCGAGAGGCCTCGCCGGAAACGGCGAACATGGGACTCCAACTCGCTTGCTTTCGGCCCCCTTGCTAAGAGTTTTCAACTTTTAGTGGTTTAATACGGAAAACCCATTAGTTGGCAAAAAGTCATAAAGTCCTAACATCCAAGCAAAATGCACCAAAGCCAAGATACTGTGGATTCACAAAATCCATTTCGCACCACCGAAGAAACGCTGGAATGATTCCCCTGTAAATACCAACAAACAATGGCTTCAACCATTGCCAATCAAAGTGGTGCAGGAGTTCGTCCATCCACAGTATGGAGATTCCTCTGAACATGTTGATCTTTAGGGCTGCATCGTGTTTTCCTTTTTTGAAGGTATTCAACTTGCATAGTCCCTCTTGGGTACATCCCTAGAATCTGCTTGGACCGTCGGAAGACACTTGCCCCTGACAAAGCAAAGTCCTGCAGTTGGAGATGTGTCAAACATCTAAGCATCTTTCACGTTAAGAGAAGGAATCTAACAAATCCTAGTTGTCTTCGAGGACCCCCAATTCCCAATAAGGGCTAGCGGCTAATAAGGCCCAAAAAAAGGCTAACAGGGTCCCTTTTGAGTGGCTGCTTGGATGGTCCCCTAAGGGCACCTCTGACAACCACGGGAACGAAAAGCCCAGCACTTGCTTTGTGAAGGAACAGCTGACTCGCCTCAGCGCAGGTCGTGGCCTGCCCTATCAAGTCCGAGTGGTTAGACCGCCAGGCACCAGTTAATCCTGGTACAAACCACCTACCTGGCCCATTCACAGCACCCAAACCTCATCGTTTGTGTTGATTATGGAGCCAGCTCAGAGCCTGACAAGCAACACATGAATTAGGCAAAACACCCGACAGGGGCTAGGCAAAACTTATTTGGCACCTACTTGTTTTTTGTTTATGTTGTGGGTTTAGGCAAAACACGGACTTTTCCTGGCCCAATTCTCCGAGTACGTCAGAGCCCGGGATCCCAAAGCCAGATTCCGTTGCATGATCAACAGGAAAATCAACCGTACGGTGCATCTTCACATGCATGAAACATCAGGTTGTAAATGTAGGTGTAGACATATAACTACGTATATATGATAGCATCATATATTGTATAATATAATACCATATAATACAAGATGATATGACGTAGTGTAGTATACTATGCATATGCCCTGAGGCTCATGACCCCTCCAATGCAGACCCCAGGACCCTCCAATGGAGAACCCCGACCCCTCACGGGCCCTCAAAAACAACCCATTTGGAGGGCCCAAACACAGTCGGGACCCTTAGAATGTATTGGAACAATTGGAACAATTGCAACGCCCCCTGAGTCCTGCAGGTCTGCTGGGCACCGCAAGGTACCTGTGTGAACCACCGCAGGTTGGGTCCATTTAGACATCTCTAGGGGAAAATGAGATTGGTGTGGCTCAACATCAAAGAGCTAGGGCAAACCACCGCTTTTAGGCGTTGGTTCCAAGGTGCCATATTGGCACCTTTTTTTGAGGCACTGCCGTATGGGTGTGGCCCTTTTTAGGAATCGGACCTCCAAAATGGCGCAGCGGTTTTCTTTTGGTTCCCTTTCAAACCACCAAACCAGGGGTATATACCCCTCAAAACAAGGCACGCTCGTATGTGTATATATACAAACTGCACATACCAACACGGATTTTCCAATGCGATGCAAAAATTCAGAAGCATCACAAGCAAATGGATTTCACTCCATTTGCTTCAGTCCCCTGTGGAAAAACACACATATTTCCAGGAGTGCTTTTTTCGTGCAGGTTGTCCGTTTCTGGGTTCAGTGGTTGGATTCATCACTAGGGGCCAAAACCCGCCCCCCCCCCCAATTAATACATCTGGTTGGCTGGCTAATATGGGCTGCCCTCAGATCCCCTAACAGTTTAACTTTTAGTGCCCCGCATGACTATGGTTCGTAACGTGGCCGGTGGTAATACCACGAACCACGAACGCGTGCGCAGACTAAGTTAAACGGCGGTGCCCCAAGTGCGATAAACTTGAAGGGCAACAAGACGGCAAGGACGCGAGGCACCATAGCTAGAGGGACAACAGCCGAAACCAGAGGCCAGCATCAGACCCCAAGCGGTGGCTTGCAGGGCCAAGGGGCCGACTACAATGGCTGCTCCTCATACAGGAGGAGCAGGCATATGGAAGGGTCAAAAGCCCGAAAAGAGACTGGGACAAAAAAGGGTGAACCCCAAAAGTGAAAACAGCAAGGCTGGAAGAGTGAAACCTGGCCCCAAAACAGCAACAAGACAAAGCCAACCTCCTCAAAGTACGTAGCCAGCACAAAAAGGGATGATCCTGAAAGGAGACGCAGGCTGAGTGACGGGGCCTACATGAACGTCAATTGGCTTATCCTGCAGCTGCGGCCGAGAAGTAGATGTTGCTCATCATGGATGGCGTGGTCTGCTTCACGGATATAGATGGGCTTTGCTATGTGAACTAGCATGGGACCAACCCCGGCATCGCGCTCACGGATGATAAAAGCCTCCTGGCAAGGGGCCACTTCTGAAATCTGGAAGTCCCCAGGCAGAAGAACACCCCTGATCACAGCAGCATGGTACCCGGCTTGGGGCCTTATGGGGGTGAGTAAAGGAAGGATCATATCCAGGCATCCCTTTGCCAGCATCATGGTTCAGGCAAGAACTGTCCACTGCATTCTCGATGAAGTCAAGGGAAGTCACAAGTCTGTCACGCGTACCATGAGAGGCGATGAAGGCACATGCACAGCTCCAACTGCCAAAGCCACCACCACAAGAGAGGGGGTCAAAGCCGAAGTCTGGTCTTCAACTGCTAAGTATAATCCAATGGTGTCCGCCAACGAAGCAAGTACGTGAACAGACGAAAAAAACACAAGCCGACCAACGTAAGTGCAAAGTGAACTCGCATCAAAGACGAAGAGGTCCTCAAAGCAAAAGTCAAGGCGGAGTCGCCTGACCGAAGTATTCATCTGCCCGATGTCATCCACACAAGACAATAGTATCGCAATGCAACATGGCGGAAACGCGGGTGAGACGGGGCTCATGTTAGCACCACCCGCCGTTACCACGTGGCGGTCTTGAGCAACAACGGCTTTAACTTTTAGTGGGTTAAATGGGAACTACCACTAAACACTAAAAGGCAACCTAAAAGGCTAAAAAGCAAAGGAATCGGAAGGCTGGGAGCCACCAAGTAATACCGTGGATGGACAAAATCCTGCACCACCCAAAAAACCCTGGAATGATGATTCCGCTGTAACCACCAACAAACAATGGTTTCCCATTGTTTCAAAGTGGTGCAGGATTTCGTCCATCCACGGGTCCACATTCGTCTTGAAAAGGTACGAAACGACGAGCCGGAAGCTTCCCTCAATCGGCGCGCTTGGACTCGAAGCGCTGCGGCGCCACTGCCGTGGCCAGGTCCCCGACCAGCTCGGCACGCAGCTGGCCTGACTTCACAGCGGCGATGGGCGTGCAAAAACCCGGCGCTGCTTTTTTGCAGCCCTACTAAAAGGAAACAGCTACAGACCCCAAAAAAACAACAAACCAAAACTTGGTAGCGAACAACGGTGTGTTTTGCAGCATAAAAACAATCACACCCAACAAAACCCAAAAAACAACAAACACCTGACAAGAACGGTGAAGGTAAGGCTTGTTTGCCACTCGAGGAGCAAGCGCCACCAATTAGAGGAAAGCTCACTTGGCCCACAGGGGTACATAGCAAGCTTCGTATTTTCTGGTTCTGGTTCATCATATATCACGCTTACCACCTTGCCTGCGAATTGTGGGGTTGCACTCCCTTGCCTTTTGACCCCTCAGTCGGGAGTGAGGATGACGTTTGATCCCAAGGTCGACCTTCAAACCAACCCATCCCTTGATGGCGAGGGGAACCAGTTCACACATAGCTACTGTGGAATGTGTTGAATGTGTAGTCAGTGTTTCTTTTGCTTTTTAAGAAGCCAACGGTTGGTTCGCAGCTCCAAACACATGTCAGTTGAACCGTGCTGCACCGGCTTGTTCACGCCTGCCTGAATGATTGAGTGCAAAATAATCACAACCGTAGTTTGCCCATAAGCATGAGGTAATTTGTTTGTTCTTATTCCCTCAGACCCCACTCAAAATAGTATGCTCGTATAGCACATCCAGAATTCCTTTCAAAAAATCCCTAGACAGAAATGACAAGGCACGTATTATGCGGCGCACACATGGTATCAACCCAGGCTCATTTGGAGTGAGCCCCTGCAGGGTGTTCCCAGAAGAGGAACACATCGATTTGTCTGTAACAAATCACGCGAAATATTTGCAGACCCAAAGGGAGACACCTCAATTGGGGGGTTCCAGGATTCCTTTCAAACATCCCCTAGACAGAAATGACAAGGCAAGGGGATATTCTGCGGCGCACACATGGTATCAACCCAGGCTCAAATGCGAGAGAGCCCCTGCAGGGGCTCTTCTCAGAAGAGGAACACATCGATTTGTCTGCAACAAATCACGCGAAAGCAGACCCAAAAGGAGAGACCTCAATTGGGAAGCCAATGAAAAGGTGCAACAAATCACGCGAAAGCAGACAGACCCAAAAGGAGAGACCTCAATAAGCCAGTCAAAAGGGCCATTAAACTTTCAACTGTCGACGGTGTTCTGGAAAGCTAAGGGCGTCCAAGCGTGGGGGTTATGTGAGTGCCCAAAACCACAAAAAGACGCTTGGTTCTACCTGGCTATCAGGGCAACCGTCTTGTGGCGTATTTTCTTTTGACATGACCCCCCTTCTCCAAACTCAGACCCGGTGCAGCCAAGGACCTAAACATGTCTCCATGATGCGCCTGCCGGGTGTTTACTTTGGGAGCCCCCAGTTTCGCAGTGAAAAGTGAAACACCGCGCCTCCCGCTGATGCGACCACCGGTTGCTGTTGACCTGGCCAGAGAAGTCCCCCAGGGAACGGGGTTCCAAAAGCCAATGAGCGACTCCACCGGCCTGCAATTGCGGTTTGACATGCTATCTCCGAATCTGAGAAACGGCTCGAAACGTTTCTGATCTATCGGTGTTCAAGCCTTACCATCACTTAAGGCAATGGCATGTTCAAATGAATCAACTAACAACTACTAGCTACTGCATAGCACCATTAATATTGCAGCGCGCCTGCGTGCAGAGGCGAAAATAAAAATGCCATGTGCCGATACACCATGATACTAGTGTCGCGTATTCAAGTAAGCAACGGACACTCTCACCGGTGGATGGCTCATTTGGGTGGTTGCTCCCCCATTGTGGGAAGAGGAGATTGGGCAAACCCCGCATGCATTCTGCAATTAACCGTAAACTACCGGCAATACTGTTCACTAAGCTAGAAAGCTATCTTGTGTCACCGCCCAAACCATACAGGAACGCAGGAACCGGTAAGACAGGCCAGCTGTGCTCAGCGTCATGGTCGTCTCGGAGTATGTCACGTTCCTCGCAAGGCAATGCTCAAGATGCAGCGCGCCGTGCAGCCTTTCCCATGCTTCAGGTCCCTTTCCCAACAGAGATTCAATCCATCGATCCCCGTGACCCTCATGTCCAGAGCGGATTGCCCCCAAGAAGAGAGTCCAACAGAACCAACAACGCCTCCCAAAATGCACATATACCAGGGGTTACCACTAGTTCCTAGTTCTTGTTCTGCATAAAACATTGACTTCGGATTTGCAGGCATGCCTCTGCATTGATCTTCCCAAAAAGAACAACTTTCCTGTTACACGAGTGAGGAAGCCCCGGTGGCTTCCGCGACAAAAACAAAAAAAACGTTCAAATTAACGCACGAGTCTCCCCCAGCCGCTCTCATAGTCGTCCGGCGTTCGGAGCCGCACCGTGATGTCGTAGAAGATCTAACGCCGCGAACCGATTTGGTCAAAACCTGGTACTAAACTTGATTCTTGTTGATCCCTTGGCAAACAGTTATATAGCTTTTGGTGAGTCCAATGAAAAATTCCACAGTTTCCCGAAACAAGTTAAAGTCCAAAGATCCGTTACCAAATAAAGGCAAAAGGCTCTGGCCTAAGCCCTGACCTGGGTTTTGATTGCGACTCATTTAGCTTGGTTTGGAGGTGTTCCAGTGGCAGGCTCGGGGTCGTTCTCCCTCAACCAGAATGGGTGGAAATCCACGCCACACAACCAATTTCGGGGGAACCCTTTTTGAATGGGTGTGGCTCGAAGTACCGGTTGCAACAATCCTTTGTTGGTATTGCGCGTATTTCGTTGGGCCAGTGCAATCCAGCTGGAGTCGAGAGGCGGAATGGATCTGAAGCTGATCCCAAAACATGCGGAAGTCACATGCAAGTCGTTCGTTCTTGGACCAAAGCCATGCTCAACACCCCTCGTCCCCCAAACTGACTTGGGGTTGTGACGAGTAATCATCCTCTTTACTAGAAATATGTAAACAACATTGACCGTTGCTCATTGAAGAGCGGTGCAACATGCGGTGGCAAAGCAGTCTCTACAAAATAGTTGCAAGAGATGATCCCAAAGTATTGTGCAAATGGGAAAACAAACCTAGCTTTGACCGGCATAAGGCGCAAGTGGGGTGACCATCATTTTGACCAAACCAAACGACCAACCCCCCGCTCTTCAGGGGACCCGAAATCAGCCTTCGTCATGGGTGAGGATGCAACCGGTAGGTTGCCCATGCCGAATTCACTAACCTGAAATAAGGGTCTCGCAAGAAACAGAAGGGCGGGGGGGGGGGGGGTGCACGAGGTCGTCGTCGTTGTAGCTCGGCATAAGGGTAACTCAATCATGGGCGGTTACTTCTTGCGCCACGCACCTGCTTCCTACTCCATCATCTGGAAGCGGTTTCCAGCCATCGACCCATCTGGACTTCAGGATGTGATCACAAGTGATAAGTCCTATCTCCTTTGTTTGATGTCACAAGGAACCGCTCGCCTTGGGCCGCCCGCCGACGACTCGAGTAGCCCGCCTGTGGCTGGCTCACCTCGTAGACGGAGTACCAGAGGCTGTCGAAGTTCAGGCAGTGGGCGCTGTCACCTAGAGACGAATGCGGATGCACTGCAGATGGGCGCGTCGTTGTCGAGGTTGGACCTCCAACATGTGGGTTTTCCTTTTGGGGTCGCTGTAAAACCACGGTGTCGTGTTGTTGTATTTTTTTGTCTCGACCTCCAAAATGGTGGGTTTTCCTGCTTGTTGTTTTAGTGTCGCTGGAAAACCACGAGAAAGCGGTGCCAGCGGATTCCCATGAGCGTTGGGCGTCCAAAGAAATTCGGACGCGCCAACTGGGGGCTTATGTGAGCTTCTGGTTCTCCATGGATATGTAGGCCTTGGAATCTGTCTGAAACCAGTAGAATACTGAAGTGGCCGATGAGGATTTTGGGTGCGTGCTGTGCAGAGGAGCCTCTTGTTCAGAGGAGTCTTCTGTTTGGTGTCCCACTTTCTTTTTGGGTTGCACGTTCAGTATGACTTTTCATTGGAAAGGGGACCCTTGGTGGACATGATCGTGGGAATTTTTCCTGCTAAACATCACGGAAAAGCTGATCAAAGTGGTCAGAATGGCTTGACACAGCCGCACAAGAAAAGACTGCCCAAACAAGATGGATTGCGGCTGTGTTTGTTTGAGGGTGCCCTTTTTTATTCGGAGTTAAATGGAAACCAAAAAGAACCTCCGACTTTGACATATCCAAATCTTTGAGGGTACGTACTTGTTTGCTTTGATTCACTTTAAAGGGAAACAAAAAGGAACACCGACAAAAAAATAGACACCCACTTTGAAGCCAGTTCAATCGTCCACTTTTTGCGACTGCGGTTAATGTTTCTCTCGGAGTGATGTTTAAGAGAAAATAGCGTGTGCTCCCTGTTCTTCCAGGTCGAAGTCACGTTGGGCTCCTGGAAAACCGGTACGGTGGGTTCGTGAACGAAGGCTGCCGGGCGTCACCGCATCTGCATGTGACGTGCAGAAAAGCCGCGTCTGTATGTGGGTCCAAGCAACAAACGCAGTCAATGCCAACGAACAACGACAGAACTGCAAAATATGTGGGGCTGGGTCAAAACATGGGGAACGCTGAAATAGAGGTGTCCTGTTGGTTTCCCGTCAGAACAACCCAAAGCCAACAACAACAAAAAACAACAAAAACAAAAAAAACTCCACTCCCGTGCCGTAAAATCTCCCGCAAATTCCCCAGCCAGGACACTCATGCTGAAGAGCCCGCAGTCGGAAGACATCCGCGTGGGCTCCCCGGACCTGAAACTTGGACCCATTCAAAGGTTGATTGTGGTCCGGAAGGGAACCCATGGCCATGTTTGACCCATAACTAACGGGAAATTAGCACATAAACTAGGGGTTCATGAGGTTCATATATTAGGGGTACACATTCAGCCTTTGAACCATGCTTTGGTTGTGTGAATGACCTTGAAACCATTTACCCGGGTGCCAACCACTAAATCTTGGTAGCCCTACCAACGGAATGTTGGACATGGGAAGATGCAGTTGTGGGCTGCTGGCCAGGTTAACCCCGGATCAATCAACCCCAGTTTATCAACAGGGCTCCCTGGGTTTAGTGGGGAATCACCTTTGGAGGGGAACTACTGTTGATGGACAAATCCTGCACCACTTGGGATGGATAAAACCCCATAAATAATAGGATAAACCATATAGCAACTGGTGCAGGATTTTGTCCATCAACAGTATGACGGGTTTATTCATCTTTACGTAACATTCGTGTCTTTGAAGGGAATGATTAGCAGGATCATATCATCTGACCACGGGCTTATGTCAAAGTCAAGCATTGGGAGGCAAGCATCCCTGGCTGTCGTTCAAACTCGGAAATTCCGGAATGCCCACAAGTGAAACACTGACCAACTGAGGTGAACCAAAAAAGTTTGAACCTTGGCCTTGACTCAAAGGATGAAAGCACCAGGACCATGACACACACACACACACACTGGACTGTTCACATGCAAACAAAAATCACAGCATGCCAGTGTCACATGTTCAGTGTGACGCCTGCGGGTTTGGATAGGACATGCAAAAATCGGCCAACCGGAAATCAACCGAACCCCTACATGATTGGGCAGGGAAGGTCGTCCTTAGGGCTCTCAGCTCGTTGGACCCCTGCCTCTTTGTACCTTGAGGCCTCTGAGGCCCCCGGCACCACTTTCCCCAAGTCACAGGCGCAGCAGAAGCCCTGGCTGGGCGGCGCGAAGGAGTGGCATCCGCATCCGGAACTCGGAGAACTCGGAGCTAAGGAGGTTGAAGAGATCGGAGAAAAGTCGGGTGAACGTGACAGGTTTGGCCATGAGAGATGAGGTTTAGCCTGGTCGGCGCCAGGCTGATCTTTTTTCTGGCACGTGTCAATCTCCAAGACCGGGGAGGATTTCCTGAGAACCTCATCCAGCTTCCCTTTTGGAATTCGAGCATTCATACCCCATTGTCCATCAACATTCCTCAGGTTCCAGATATCGATAAGCTCAATACCAGCCAGTTGATGCTGCATCCATTGGCGAATAGCGGAGAACTGCTTCTGTCGGATAGCATTTTGAATATCCCTGTCCTCATGGAACTCTCCCATTTTGCTTTAGGCATTGCAGGCCCATGGACGATCTGTTACATGTTGAGAAGCGTCTCCTTTCGGAGCTCATGGCCCACTTCCCTATGGAAACCCACCATGAAGATGTCCCTTTCTTTATGCGTAGGAATGGACCCAAACACCTCGTTGACGGAAGGGGCACAACACAGGAAAACCAAAGCTGGGGCCAATAAAACTCGAGGGTCGCCTCCGTGTGCCGGAAGCGCGAGTCGCGCATCCAGCGCAAGATGTGCCGTGTGTGTGTTCATCGATTTCAGGATCTCTTCAAAGGCAAAATAGAAGGAAACCCAGTGATGGAGAGACGTATAATTCTGAAACCCTCTCCCCTGATCCTGATCAAAGGAAAATTCCAGCCAGGACTCCAAGAAATCCAATCGAATCTGCAACTATTTGACATCAATTCACCAGACACAGCTTGGATCGGCACTGCAAGAGCCACATTCTGCGCCTCGCCAGTCTCAAGTCGCAATATTGCTGTTTGTGAATTGGCATAAAAAGGCAGAAAACGCACGAAACGATGGATCAATCAAGCCCGGACTTGCAACTGGAATGGGGTACTGCGAACACCCTAAACATTGCAACGCCAACCACGTTACTTCAGGAATAGGTGTGTTTTTGGAGGGCGCTCTCTCTTTTTTCACCGGAAAGCCAAACGAAAATTTGAGAGATCCAGTCGGGGATCCCGCGCCTCTGAGTCGAGGACACGCTGATCGCCCACAACTGGCGGAGAGGAGACTTGTGGCAACACACAGATCAAGAACTTACCCCTTAAAACTCCAAGGGTTGGGGAAGTTAACCTTTTACAGACATATAGCCCATGTTACCCAAAAAGTTGAAAAGTTGTGTTTTTAAGAGGTAAGAGAAACCCCAAAAGGGAAAAACAGAGGAGTTTCCTCTGGGTGGTTCCACGTGAATTTGCAGAGTTAGCCGTTTAGCCCAGTGGAAAGCAAGAATCCAAACAAATACAATCATGCCCTGCAAAACTAAGAGGGACATCCAAGAGGTCAGGGACTGAATGTGGCTCAAGCCTCAAAGGAAATCTTCGAACGGTTAGCAAAGGAAATACATTAAATATCCGAGAGATTCACCGGCAACCAAATCGTTGAAGTGATCCTGTGTTTCACATCCTGCAGTTCTGCATCGAGCACTACCTCATGATCTTCTTGAAATCTGCAAGGCTGGATCCTATTTGAACGAGGGTCCCTTGTCCCAAAGCTGCCAAATTGTGCTGGCACATGGGTCCACACGCGCAACATCGATCCTAAGACTCCGAACGGCACGGGCCCCTGAGCATCTCGCTTCGTGGACTTGCAAGGCTCGAGAAGTGGGCGAACCGACAGAGCACTCGAAGTTTCCCAAGCACTTCGTCACTTACCCCACGCTCATTTCGTGAACCCCGTGAGTGGGGCTAACCCGCAAAGCACAAATTCGAAGCTTCCCTCGTTAGCCCCGTCTGCTTAAGCCCGGCGTGCTCCGGGAAAAATAGCAACTAAAAAGGAGGCAAGCGCGAGCCACGGTTCTGCCAGCGCTGAACAACATGCAGACCAACGCCGTTCGCCGTTCTTTTTCCTTGCCCAACGCAGGCGCCCTTCTGACCCAAAGGCGACCGTTTCGGTGTGCTGCAAACAAGCTGCCAGGCGTAAAGAACACATGGGTCGCTTTTGAGGGTACCCCGTGTTTGTGGCTTTGAAGGGAAACCAAGAGGACAACGACCCATTCTTGGAGAGTCCCCTAGAAAAGACACACCTAGAGTCTCCATGACCCTTTAAAAATGGGTCCATGACCCCATTATTTTGGGTAATGACCAACCATTTTTAAAGGGTCATGGAGACTTCAGGCACTCACATTGTCAATGATATTGTCCTATCAATCGGGCTTTCCCTGCTCGCCAATGAGGCGATCGGCAAAATCGGCGACAGGTGGCCCGGTATTTTCACCATTGGAAGCACGGCTTGAAGCGACGTCGCACAACGGCTGGCTAGGTCCTCCGGTAGAGAAATCAGAATAAGGGTACCCTTTTTTCTGTAGTCTATTTTAGTAGGGGAACCCTCCCCTACAAAAGGGTAAAAGGGCACTACTAGGGGACCTAGTTGGGATACTGTGATGCATCTGTGTTCTTCAGTGAGGAAGCATATTGAAACACGTCCATTTGTTGGTAGACTTGCATGCAAACGGATGCCAGAGGAGGAATATAATTGGTAGATTGTTGGGGCATGTCAAATGTTTACCAGATGTCGGGGCTGATCAAAAGGTCCTTTACACACGGGATGACCATTGGGGAAATGTCCCACTAACTGGGAGAAGTTTGCCATGCGTCTTTGGGGGCCACCAATATTGAGCAACCCCTGATTAGAGCTAGGCCCAGTTATAGAATGTATATTTCATTGTTTGCTTCACTTTGAGTCACTGCATGGTAAAATATGAAACGTATTCTAAGTTTACCTTATTGTTTTGTGTGTGTGTGTGTTTGGCCACTTCGAAATGCCACCGCGCTCCGAGCAGTCTCAATAACCGAAGCCAGGCCCACAGGAGACGTCGCAGGTCACTGCCTGCCAGGTGAACAATCTTGCAATCGCTGCGAAATCGGTAGGGAATGCGGTTGAATGAACCCAGGCTTCGGTCCCCTTAAAGGACACCACCAGTTGGATGGTTTTTCTTGGGGTCATTCCATTTATCCTTCCCTGCTGAGCACCTGCAAGAAAAAGCTGGAGGTTGTTTTGTTTGAAGCCACGCACAGAAAATGAACAACACGGAACAACTCAACAAGCATGTTAGGAGCTGCAAAGGCAGATACTTGGAGCCAACATGCGATTGATTGAACAATAGGTGTTCACGGTTCACATGGGATTGGCCCAACCCTGACGCCGGGAATGGGCAAACTGCAAAGTTGAACCTAGGAGAGGTAAATCCACTTAGGTGCGAATCCCAGAGCAACCTCTTTCACCAAGGGTACCCTTTTTGGAATGGTGTTCAAGGGAAACAACAAGGACGCCACTCATGTTCAAGGCCCTCTATTTTGAGACAAAACCACGAAGATGTTGATCGGCCCCCATAGTAGCCCGCATTGAACAATGGTATCAGGCTCCTGGTGGCATGGTCTCTCAAATCAGCATGAAGCTTTATGAGAAGCAGGAAGGTCAAACTCTCCATCTCTATTCGCCCTCATAGAATCAACAAGCTCTTACCTTTGCCTTTCTTGGCGGTGTCCCTTTCTCGGACTCCTTTTTAACCGAAGGCTCCGCGGCTCCGCGCGTGTCACCTTGAAATGGAAGCGGGCCCCTCGATGCCTGGCAGAAAAGCCTCCCGCATCCTGGAACCGTATCAGGTTCCTCACGGTTGCTATTCCCATCACCCAACTCCCCGGCAACCGCACACAGCCGCTTTTCTTGCGCGGCAAGGCCAGGCACTCGGCTGGGCGTGGTGTTCTGGAAAAATCGCTGGGAAGCACCCCGGATCAGCAGCCAGGAAAGCTTGACAGCTGCTGCTTGACATAGGTTGCACCATTATCTCGTTCATGTCTTGTGCGTTCCGTACAGGAAGGATGCATGTTGCACTCAAACTGTTGCCCTTTGTTTGGAAAGCCATGCAGGAATCTGGCATCTAAGGGCCTAAATCTCTTGCAGGTGGTGAAAAAAGCAAGGATGCAAACAACTGATCACATGCTCTTCCATCAGAACTCACTTGCTTCACGGAACCCAAACTGGCGAAGTCATGGAGATGCCCTTTCTCCAAACTGAGGTCCAAATCAGCTGATCCTTCGCCAGCCATGAGACCTTCATGGGGCTTGCTGGAGACCTCCTGGCGCCCCATGATATGGGGTTTTCCTCCCGAATACTACCTTCAAGTGCAGGGGTTTTAGAACGTCGCACATTGTGCTTCGGCTCGGTTGACGTTGGCAGGGAAGCAAAAACAAGTTTCAGAAGTTAGGTGGTTGGGTTTCAACCAAACCACCATGAGCCACAATGTAAGAACTGCTTCCCAACAACCAGGTCGTCCCGCTGACACCCGCTTCGGCTCAGGGGCACAGGCGCGGGCAGTGCGTCTCCGCGAAGCGGCTCATCTCCTGAGCCAGCTTCAGAGGCTCCTGCGGCTCGTTCGCGTGGGGTCCCGCGCGGGGAAGGAATTGGGCGCCTTTGGACACGAAAACGGGCCTTAGAGCGAAACCCGAAAAGGGACAGATGGTGGTTTAAACATGACCCAGAGGACCCAGAGGGTCCAAGTACCTTCTGAGGAGGTACTTAGACTCCTTTTTATCCCGCAAAAGCCATCCTCATGAGGTACTTGGACCCTCCGGGTGAGACAAGGGGAAGCCCAACCCTCTCCGCAACAACAGAAAACAAAAGAAAAACACCTCTCGTGGAAATGGGGAAGGAAGGCCTGCAAAAATGAGCAAGTCTTTATCAGTCTCTGGTTTCCTTTCGCTCATTGAAGGGACATTTGCATATGCACAGTTTAGCAGTTTAGCAACCCGGCGCAGAGTTCATGAGAAGGAAACGAGTGAATTCGGAGGTCATCACAACACAAGGAGAATATGTGGAAGGCATCACTCTCTTACAATTTCCTTTTAGGGTCCCTGTCAACGTTGAACAACAAGGGGTCTCTGGACATTGCTATGCATCAATTCGGTTCTTCTGTACCGACACTTTTGAAATCTACCCTTAGTTGGGCGACCAAGGTCCACACAAGAGAGAGACCGGCAACAAAAACGTATCTGTCTTTGTTTCAGGGGACTCCGCAAAATGGTTGGTTACCTTATGTTACCTGTTTGCCCCTTTTTAAACCACTTACACAAAAGGGGTTCTCACCGAAAAAAAGACACACCCATATCATCCACCGCTGACCAGTGACACTGGCGAACAGACAAAGGTCAAACCAAGTGGCACTGGTAAATGATTGGACTAGCCAAACAGCGCCTCTATCTTCAACCTGACTGAAAATGGCAGTCGATTCGCTCAAGTGAAACTCATGGTGCCAACAACTGTCGCGTCCCCAAAAAGGCCCAAGTCGCATCCCTCAGACATGTTTAGCAAGACATAGTCTCACCAGGATTCTTGTGTACCCAACTGAACACCAAAACAACACGGGTTTCTCGGGTCTAAAACTAATTCCTCGCCAAAAAAACCGGCAACTCGATTGAACATGTGTTGAGTGTTTGACCGCACACAGACCAATTCCACAATGGCCTTCTTTTCTCATGAAGCAAAAAGACGCCTCCCAAGAAACAGGACTCGGAGCTGCAAGTGGCCTTTCTGGTGCCGTTTGACACGTTGGTTTCCTTGGCTACCCTGCAGATTCACATGGAACCCAGAAAACCTGAATTTGTGGAGGAGTGCTCTCGTGGTGGATCCCATTTGGGTTCCGAGTATGCAACAGTTTTGCTTTGGGTTGGACATGTTGGAAGCACGGCCACCTGGTAGCGGCACCACACATTGATGGGTGGCAAGCATTTCAAATGACACGCGACGCAAGCTGGGCTCCAAGGCTTTGCCTTTGGACTTTGAGCACATGGAAGGCCGCAGATTGGGATGTCCCTGCACTCAAACATTACCCAAATCCATTTCCCAGGTAAAAAGCCAAGGGAACTAGCCTTTAACAAGGAAAATGGAACAAAGGGTTACCTATGGCAACTGGGATCTAGGGACAGACTCTACTTCCAAAAACTACTCCTTTCCGGGTCGAACGCTTGAAACGTCGCCGGCCAGAAACGAAGAACCCCGCCTCGAAGATGTAGTAATGCGAGCCGCTCACATCATCCTGAGCCCGTCATGTCTGCCAGAAGCAGCCCCGATGTGTTCTGAGACTTGGACAAACGGGGACAACTGAATAACAAAACCATGGGGGCTTTCAATTCTTGCTCTGGGACCGCCCAAATGCCCCCTTGCAATTTTGAACCACCCCACAAAACCAATGAAGGCAGGCAACAGGCTGAAACAGTCCCAAATGTCGACAATCGCCGTTAAACAAATTGCATCGTGCCGTCGCTTTCCCGTCTCCCCATAGGTGTCCGTTTGGAAAAATCGATGGCAGATGATCACCGAACTGTGTTACCGCCGGGCAAAGCTCTATAGTTCGCTTGAAATCAGGAATCCCAACTACATGTGCACAGACCTTGTTTTCGGTTGTGGAGAACCACAACTTCTGTAATACATGAGCCGTCCAACCACCTTTGGTTCTCAGCAAGAGGATTCCAACTTGTCCTTTTCACAAGCGGCAACCTCATGCCCCTCCATAAGCTGGGCTGGAAGCCA